TAAACTTGCTGCTCTGCTGCTAATACGCATGCGTAATGGATATATACTGATATAGATGTACTGCGCATACTCAGAGTCAATCAGTTTGTAGCAAAAGAAAATGAGGTAGCGAAAAAATGAAAAGGAATCCCTGATACCCATCATATCAGCCCTTCGTTCTATTTTTAGAAAAAGAGCTATTTTTAGTTTGTTACCAAGCCYGCGCGACCACTACTCGTTTATCGGAATTTGATATCGGCTATTTTTCATCGCCAAAAACTGAGTATCAAATACTGTTCGAGAAAATTAAAGCTACGAAATTCGCTTTTAAAAAGGAAACTTCTTGAAGAAGAAAAGGAATCTTCTTCAAAACAAAGAAAACTTGAAAATGTCGAAGAAGAATCAGCTTCTGAAGGTAATGTGACATGAAATTAGATCGACAATCTGACCTTTGAATTCTCTGACCTCTCGAGCAGTAATATTTAACCTGGAATAGACAATTTATAAAACGCATAATTTACATTTGCAGATTCAACACGAAAGGATCTGACGATCTGACCAATCATGTTCCATTTCTAAAAATAGCTCTTTTTCTAAAAATAGAACGAAGGGCTGATATGATGGGTTAAGAACGCAGTACCAGGGATTCCTTCTCTTACCTCATTTTCTCTTGGTTTGTAGAGAATATCCCATAAGGCTTTGTATAAGATTCAATTTATTTTTTCCTATTTGAGGGCGGTGCTCAGTCATATTTCATTCAAGAATCTTTGTTTCGTTGAATGTATATGCGTATCAATAATATATCAATTATTGGGCTGTAATATGCTTTTTTTCATTGGGATTCCTGTGTCAAGGGCGTTGATCATATCTTTTCTTCGATATATAAATCCTTACATCAAACGCCGAATCTTGCATGTACTTTTTAGCGTCCTTCCATCTGTTGTTTTTGCGAATATCGATGTCATTTCAGAATTTGCTTTGACTGACTTAGCCTTACGAAAGATAGGGCTGACTCGGTTCATGTGAGACTCGACGTCTGGGCAGCTGAGAATTCTGGGACGTAGATTTTCTATTATAACATTATTTTATTTCTGCTCGTTTAATTGCATTGAATTT